CACCACTCTTTCGGCTTAAGGCCGTGCTGGCGAAGTCGAAAATGTCACTATAGGACTCCAGGACGTGACGGAGGGCTTCCGCTTGATCAGGAGCGAGGTCTGATGGTACCATGCGGTCAACGTCGACGCCCGATGAACGTGATAGTGTTGGGTCATGGTTTGAGGTTCAACAATCATCCACTCTGAAGCGCTCAACCGTATGGTCTTGTAGGGCAGTAATTTCAGCCAGGGAGATACCTTGGGGAAGAATTTGGGCAGTGAGGGCAATATTGACTATAGGAAGGCATGTGCTGTTTTCAACAATTGTCGAAATGGTGTGCGGAACAGCGACGCCATGCATAAGTATCACGGCATGAATCCGTGCCACCATGTAATTGCCGTCAGGTACAGGTGGCGTAGAGAAGAGGTCGATGTGTGTAACACAGTTAGGCAGAAGGCGTACGAAATGAATGCAGCAATGACGGCTTTGAGGTGGGTTGGTCGAATCGGAAAGTAGAGGCATCTCAAGGTCAAGACAGCCGGCTGAACAGTTTATAAGGGCTGAGTGAGCGGTTAGAAAATTCATACCTAGAATTAGATCATGAGGGCAATTTTCTATAACGGTGAAAAGAACAGCAGTGCTTCTATAGGCAATAGTCACACGGGCAAAGCACATGCCAATAATGGCGGCAGTTCTCCCGTCGGCGACTCTAACGGCTCGGTTCAAGGCGGGTGTGATAACTTTCTTTAGGCGGCGACGAAGAGCAGCACTCATTATGGACACATGCGCACCGGTACATTGTCTAAAGTAACGTTCAACAGATTCCGGGTGGTCTGTAATGTTACATGAGGATTTCTTGCAGAGGTCGTCGTCAATGCAGCTTCACCTCCAGAAGCTGCACTGCCTAGTTTTCCGGTCGGGGGGCGCTGCGAATAGGTCGGAGAGGCAGGACGGCTTTGTGGGGGTGAACGAGACTGACGGCGAGCAGGGGATGGTGAGCGGGCATAGCGAGGTCTCGTCAGAGATGCGTCAGAATCAGAGGATGTGGTCGGCATAGGGGAATCAAAATCAAATGCTGAGGACGACTGGTGGACAGACGTGGCCTAGGTAGGAGGCCCATAGTGTGCCGGCGGAGCCCAGTGATTGCGGCAGTGGCGAGCATTATGACCGACGCGTCGGCAGTGTAGGCATATAGGCGTGTGGTCGAGCCTATATGCTCGACCATGAGCTATATTGCGCTGTCGAGAGAAGTTGGAACCAAAGTGAGGAGCGGAGGGACGACGATAAAAAGGCTTGGCAGAGTAGACTGGTTTAACGGGGTGTAGGCCGACATTCGATAATTCTTGACAAACGACGGCTTGTATCAATGAGATCGTGGTCGGTGAAGGATCAGGCGTTGGGAATGGAGTGACTACTGGTTGAGCTGCCTCGATATCGCGACGAATGATGCAGGTGAAGTTGTCACATCGGGAAATTGGGCAGACCGTACGTCATTGCAAAAGAGGAAGTAGCAGCTGTGTTCGGCAGGCGCATGCTGCCGTGGGTGACGCGGCGGGCTTTAGCCCGTTTTTGACGGCGGCATTCTGTCAGGATCGTGTCGATGCTCGTGACATTATTAAAAACCAGCAAGTTGAAGGCATCGCCAGCAATCCTTTTGAGGACGTGATTAACTTTTTCGTCTTTCGTCATGCTGTGGTGGACCTTGTTACAAAGTGCCAACACGTCTAGAATGTATCAGACGTATGATTCAGTAGACGTCTGGGCGGGAGTGGCGAGAGTCTTCTTGGCAGCGAGCTAATGACCAGATGAATCACCGAAAAGATCATGGATCTTTGTTTTGAAGACATCCCAGCTTGTGATTTCGGCTTCATTGGTTTCGAACCATGTCCGTGGCGTGCCTTCGAGGTAGAACACAACATTGGCGAGCACAAACGTGCGATCCCAGCGGTGGGTAGCACTGGCACGCTCGTACCGGTGCAGCCAGGAGTCAACGTCGATGGTACCGTCAGCAGAGAAAGTGCCAGGATCATGCAGGGGTGGCAGGGTGACGCAGATTGTCGACTCGGCCGGAGAGGCCGGTGGTGGTGAGGCACTGGCAGTTGAAGTAGCTGAAGAGTCCCCGATGTTGCGACCTCTGCGCGTCCCCATCAAGGTACGGGAGTCGTCCACCTCCACCAATAATGTTACGAGTAACTTATTTATTAAATTATATACGGTGGACTGTGCTCGGCCAACAAGATGGCGACAGTTCATCAACAACCAGAAACTGACATCGTCTTTCTTTTTCATGCAGCAAGGCTGTGGTGGTTGTTGTGTATCAATATGATGGGCATCTTCATTACGCCTCATCACACTAGTATTACACCTCATCACGCTAGTTTTTCTTATTAAAAATTTTGTGATGACATGCAACACACAAGTGCTGTTTCAGCATATTCTAGGTCATAATGACAATGAGGAAGTGGTTGCAACCAATGGCAAATAGCAACTTAAGCTAAACTGGTGGATTGATATGCATAACTTCGATGCTTAGAGTGATTGTTGCGCATTCAATCGGACGAACACAGGAAAAGGACAGATTAAACGGAAAGAGCACAAACTATCTACTGGTTTTATTTATTTGGTCAATATATATATATATATATATATATATATATATATATATATATATATATATATATATATATATATATATATATATATATATATTAAAAACAAAAGTGATGCTGGGTCCGGGTAAGATTATCCGTATAGGGAAGAAGACGCACGTACGAAGTGATTTTATTGACGTTTCGGCCGTGGGTCCGGCCTTCATCAGAAGGCCGGACCCACGGCCGAAACGTCAATAAAATCACTTCGTTTGTGCGTCTTCTTCCATATATATATATATATATATATAAATATATATATATATATATATATATATATATATATATATATATATATATATATACACATATATATATTCCACACGTTCCAAATAAATATAAAAAAGAATGGGGGTGGAGGAGGGGACGGAGGAGGAAGCACATGTTAAGATAACCTCATGGCAACAAAAGCTGCACAGAAAACTACTTTCTGCATCAAACAGAGCAACAGAAGTGTCACTTACACAGTTGTCGCCCATTTGTTTAATATAAAAATCTTCTAACAGCTCATGCCCTAATCTCTCTTTGCTCTTGTCCAGAATTTGCACCATTTCGAATATGGGCTCACACCATATGCATGAGCTGAAATGTGCAGGCAAGTTCGTTCCTTTTCTTTTTGTAATCAACCAAGCATGCTCTCTAACTCATTAATTAATGCAGTGCCCTGTTTGTCCTACATACGAACAACCGCACGTGAGCGGATTTCAGTTTATGGGTTTGAATCATTAATCATGGTGTTTCTGCTATTGTATGCGCTGATGTAAACAAGTTTAGAGAGGCCGTTGAGAGAGACGTTAGGGAGGCGTTTGTGGTTGTTGTTATTTAGGAATGAGAGAGAGAAGTGTTTTACTGTTGACTATATACTCTTTCTTCTTTGTTGATTATTCATTCATCATCATAGATCACTGAGCAGAGTGAAGCGGCTGGAGGCCATTTTGGGCGGTTGAGCTAATGTGGCCCCCAAAATCGATCATAGTGGAACATCAGATGAACATCGAGCGAAACCGGCGAGCGGAAACAGAGCGAGGCACAGCTGTGGCACATGCACAGCGTGCATGTGTGCCTGGTGCATGTGCAGCACCGAGAGGTGGTACTAGCGTGCACAGTGAAGTGAGCGAGGAAGGTAGAGTCAACCATGAGTTGCTTTGTATCTAATATAGCTGCAAATGACTGAGGAAGATATTGAAACATCCTATCGGTGGGCACATGAAAAGGACAATGTGGCGCAGGTTCGCAAGTAGCAGCTCGGTGAACCGGTTTTCACTCTGGGTTGTACCTCTCGCAATCATTCTCCATGCTGTAAATAAAAGCGTTCCATTGTCACAATTGTGGTGGAAGGTGCCAGGTAAGCCATCTACTTTCAAGTGAAACCAAAGGGCGACCGTCTACCAAAGACGGAACCGCAACAGTACGAGCTTCGTTGCAGCCGTTGACTAGCAGGCTTGCCACCACTATCTCAAGAGATGAGCTTGGACGGAGACATCTTGCAGCCGTCCGTGACAGCATCGCCTTACCACTACCGAGAGCCTCATACCTTCACAGGGAAACCTGGTGATGACGTTGAAGGATGGCTCAGCCACTATCAACGGGTTAGCCGAACCAATGGCTGGAATTCTGCTAATCAGTTCTTTCTTGTAAGTCTATTTCTTGACTTCACTGCGTTACAATGGTTTAAGAATCACGAAGGCACCTTGACAACTTGGGACCAACTCACGAAGGAGCTCACGAAATGCTTTGGAGACACCGTGATGAAAAAGAAACGCGCAAAGCAAATGTGGTCGCAGAGAGCTTAAGCCTGTGATGAGACTTGCAGACATACATTCAAAAGGTACTAAAATTGTAAAAGTCAGTCAATGCCAACATGACGGAAGAGGACAAGGTGGGCCACATTCTAAAAGGAATTACAGAAGATGTTTGCTTGCGCTTCGTTGTCTGCTACGTGTATCCTGTTGCTGCAGTAGGGCCACCTGGATCAGAAGTCGGTTGTGCGCTGCTTTCAGATAGTGGCGCAGGCGGGAAGTTTGGCAACTGAGCAGGTCCTATCAGTGTTGCTCTGGACAGCCTGGAAGGGAAATGGTGCTCAATGTTGCCTGCACGGAGCCTGCCTTTGTGGTTTTCTGAAACTTTTTCGAGTGACTCTATGAAGAGTTGGCTCGAGATGTCTTCATGTGGAGCGCGTCGGCATCACGCTATGGAAACAGCTTCATTGTACTCGCAGTGGCTGCTCAGGCCTAAAAGATATTGATGTGTCCACATCCCACTAGGGGCCACACGACAGAACAGGCTACATTTCTTATCTGACTGGAACAAATGAAAGCGTTTGTTCATTTGCTACCTAGATGTGTCAGTTGTTGAGCATGTATATTGCGCAGGTGCTGTACGTGGACGGTGTGCGCTACTTCCCTGAGTGCCTGCAAGAGGTGGTCGACATGTTGGTAGAGAAAGGTATCCGGCTTCGTGCACCTCTCGAAGAACTGCAGCTTCTCCTTGACCATGCGGGACAACCATCTACAGTCTAGTCTGACTATGCTGTAAAAAGTAAAGTATGTTTTTTTATACAAAATTCTTTGTCTTTCTTCCCATTGGGGCTTGTGCCTCAGTATACACACTGCTAGTCACCTCAAGCCTGAGCTCACAAAGCAGTTTTGGCAGCTTCCTACACATGCTTCTTATGTCTGGAGGCATGTTGGGTTTTTAGACTTTTCAGGCTCCTTAACAGAGGCCACACCTGTATTCACCAAGCTGCACCCCTGGTCTGCCTCATTCCAGGAAATTATAGTACCGTCTCCATTACCCTTCTTGGACCTTTCATAATCTCTTTTGTTGGCTCCTTTTCTATCAACTGGCTTGGTAATGGGCTGTAACCAGCTATCAAGTCAGTGACCACATGTAACTTTGACGACGTATAAATGTAACTGTGACCACATTTATATGTGGTTAGAGTTGTAATGCAGAGCCTGCATGGCAGGGCTTGCTCGCGACAACCTGTGACATGTCTCCTCTTTGGAGTCTGTGGTGGATGACTGGCATTGTTGCGGAGGAAACAAAACATTTCACGGGAACCTCAAGCTTTTTCGCACGCGATTGCCCGTGTAAGAAGGGGCGCACAGATGCAACTTTTTAACATTTATTGGAGATCTGTTTTCAAAATTCGCTGCAAGAGCACCCATAAGAAAACTGGAAGGATGCTTGAGGTTCATGTTCAAAAGTAGAATGCAGTATCATAAGTGAGCCCCATTTGAATTGCCTTTTCTATCGCAAGCTTGTGTTAGCTTCTCAGTGGACATTTCACCCATCTTGCCAGGAAAGAAATGTCTGTGCACATAACGTTGGCCATCTCAAAATATCCTTGGATGGCTACTGCAGGAGTAGTAGTGAAGTGCCCACTGTTCTATGATCCTCCCTTTTGCAAATTGGCAAAGCACCTGTAACCAATGGGTTATACAACACACACACCTGTATATAGTCTTGATGCTGTTGCTGATAATGATGATTTATTATGTCTGAATTTCTCCTAATCGGTTGGGCTTTTACCTACCCACTTGTGCAATTCAGATATGTTCAGAGATGCCTAGTGTGGTTCCACATTTCTGCCATGCAATGTTTATTTTCACATACTGCATGCAGCCCAATTTGGGCTATCGTAGGAGTGGGGTTTATCAACATCAGAATACAAACAGCAAGGCAATGCAACACTGGAATGGAAAGAAAAACAGGAACAGAAAAAACAGGAATAACAATCTTAATAAACAAAGTACAATTCAATACATTCGTTCAAGAATTCATCTAAAGGCAATGACCTGGTTGACCCAGGCAAACTATTCCATTTTTCTATACTGTGCGGAAAGATGCTGAATTTAAATAGGTTAGTGTGTGGATAGAATAATGTCAGATTGAGTTTGTGGCTATTTCACGTGGGTTTCAGTTTATCGGGAGACAGATATTCGTTAGTTAATGTGTAGCGTGAGGTATTAACAAGAATATGTAGCAACTTTAGGCATTCAAGATCGCGTTGCTTGGACAGAGTTTGTAGACATAACGTAGCAAGCTGAGAGGAGGGTAAGAAGTTACAGTTGTAACGTTGGAAATAGAGACGAATGGCTTTCTTTTAAACCAATTCTAGTGTGTTGATGTCAGGTACTTTATGAGGGTTCCATACAGGGCAAGCATATTCTAGGATGGGATGGATGAGTGCGTTATATGTGAGCAATTTTGTTTCGCGTGGAGCATCTTTTAATGTGCGATTTAGATAGCCCAGTTTCTTTGAAGCTTTATTGCAAGTGTATTTATTCAATATGTTTAGACCAAGACATGTTGGCTGTGAAGACGAGATCTAGATACTTATAGTTGGGCACTCGTTTCAGAGAGGAGCCATTGAAAGAGTAATTGAACAGAGAAACAGAGGTGCATTTACAGAAAGAAAGAGTGACTGTTTTGATAAAGTTTATGTCTATTTGCCATGTGTGGCACCATCTACAAAATTGCACAAAAGAATCTTTAAGTAAAATGTGGTCATCATTAGTATTAATTACACTATACAGTACAAATTTGTTTGCGTAAAGGCAGATTTTGGCAGACACATAATTGGGCAAATCATTTATGCATAGTAAGAACAAAAATAAGTGGTCCCGGGACCGAGTCCTGGGGGACACCTGATGGCACATTCACAACAGACAAGTTTGAGGAACTGAAAAAAACATACTGGAAATGGTTGTTTAAAAAACTAGCAATCCATCAACTAATGAGTAATTGTTGAGAATAGCGTGAAGTTTATGCAGAAGTTTAGAATGCATAACAAGGACCAGAGGAATTCAACATCCTACCAGTAATGACAGGGGAAGTAAGGAAAGCCCTAGAAGGACTGCAAAGAGGCAAAGCCGCTGGTGAGGATTAGATCACAACAAACCTCCTGACAGATGGTGAAGAAATTGTGCTAAAAAAACTGGCCACCTTATTATGATTTGTCTTTTGATGGGAGGGGTTCGAGAATCTTGGAAGAATGGCAATATCATATTAATCCATAAGAAAGGAGACATAAAATACTTGAAAAATTACAGGCCAATCAGGTTACTGTCAGTTCTCGACAAGCTATTTACAAAAATAATAGCTAATAAAATTAAGGCGACATTAGAGTTAAATCAATCAAAGGACCAAGCAGGATTGCGTACAGGCTGCTCCACAGTAGACCATATTCATACTATCAACCATGTAATGGAGAAATGCGTGGAATACAACCAACCCTTATACATAACCTTCATAGATTATGAGAAGGTGTTTGATTCAGTCAAGATATCAGCAGTAATGCAGGCACTACAGAATCAGGGCATCGAAGAACTATACATAAACACATTGGAAGAAATCTATGGTGGATCCACAGCCACCATAGTTCTCCATAAAGCGACAGAATCCCAATAAAGAAGGGTGTAAGGCAAAGAGACACGATCTCTCCAATGCTATTTACCGCTTGTTTACAGGAGGTTTTTAGGACCCAAGATTGGGATGAGTTAGGGATAAGAGTTAACAGAGAGCATCTTAGTAACCTGCGATTCACTGATGACATTGCCTTGATGGGGAACTCGGGGGACGAATTACCTTAAGCACTATGGATCCAATCCATAGTGCTTATGGATCCAATCCAACAGAATACCAATCAAGAAGGGTGTAAGGCAAGGGGACACAATTTCCCCAATGCTGTTTACCGCGTGCTTACAGGAGGTTTTCAGAAGCCTAGAATGGGAACAGTTAGGGATAAGAGTCAATGGAGAATACCTTAGTAACCTGCGCTTCGCCGATGACATTGCATTGCTGAGTAACTCGGGGGACGAATTGCAACTCATGATTACGGAGTTAGACAAGGAGAGCAGAAAAGTGGGTCTTAAAATTAATCTGCAGAAAACGAAAGTAATGTACAACAACCTCGGCAAAGAGCAGCGCTTCGAGATAGGTAATAGTGCACTTGAAGTTGTAAAAGACTATGTCTACTTAGGGCAGGTAATAACCGCAGAGCCGAACCACGAGATTGAAGTAACTAGAAGAATAAGAATGGGGTGGAGCACATTCGGCAAGCACTCTCAAATTATGACAGGTAGATTGCCACTATCCCTCAAGAGGAAGGTATATAACAGCTGTATCTTGCCGGTACTTAGCTACGGAGCAGAAACCTGGAGACTTACAAAGAGGGTTCAGCTTAAATTGAGGACGACGCAGCGAGCAATGGAAAGAAAAATGGTAGGTGTAACCTTAAGAGACAAGAAGAGAGCAGAGTGGATTAGGGAACAAACGGGGGTTAAGGATATCATAGCTGAAATCAAGAAGAAGAAATGGACATGGGCAGGGCATGTAGCGCGTAGACAGGATAACCGCTGGTCATTAAGGGTAACTGACTGGATTCCCAGAGAAGGGAAGCGGGTTAGGGGGAGACAGAAGGTTAGGTGGGCAGATGAGCTTAAGAAGTTTGCGGGTATAAATTGGAAGCAGCAAGCACAGGACCGGGTTAACTGGCGGAACATGGGAGAGGCCTTTGTCCTGCAGTGGACGTAGTCAGGCTGATGATGATGATGACTATGGATCCAATATTGACATCTTCAGGAAGAAAAAAAAAATGAGTGGTTCACCAACTCAAAAGCTTTTTGCCAGGTCTACCTGTAGCATCACAAGATGTTTTTGACAACTGTAGGGGTACTGAAGAAGTGTGCGCTCGATGCGTATATTGTCCTGTGTGTAGCGCCCTCTAATTTCGCATGTCTGATGAGAACCAATTAGAATTGACATTGCAAGTTGTAACCCGTTTGATAACACCTGGTCAAAAAATTTATAATCAACATTGGCTTACAATATTGGTCTGTAGCTCTCAACGAAGTGCAATTTTATTTTATTTTTTCAGAGCTTTTCATTATGAAGACAGTATTACTTTTACAGAAAGACCACACCAGTGCCTCCATGTTGTAGCTTGATTTGAAAGTATTCAGCAAAATGAGAAAGAGAGAGAGGTCTTGAACGTTTCATCAAATTCAGGGCCTGGTGTTATTGATGAAGGCAATTTGTCTATCGCGTGCTGAATTTCTTGTTCTGTAATGGAACAGTTGATAGCAGCGTAATCATTGTCATTCAAGAGCTTCAAAAGAGAGGCAAAACTAGCTTTGAGGTTGACAGCCATGCCTCTGCTTGTAAATAGAGTGAAAATACCTTCCTCTGCTTGGGAATGCAGTGAAAGTAAGTTAAGTAACCTTTATGCTTTACAAACACAGGCATCTTGTACACGTACACGCTTCACAATAGAACATGAATATTGCTGTAACAATGCATGATACAAGTGTACATTGCCATCGGGGAGGCAGAACATGGAATTATCATAATGACTTCATGGAATTATCATAATGTTTTTATAGTAGTTTAAAGCCAGTCACCCATTACAAAAGGCACCTGTGCTGATGCACCCTGTTATGCCTGCGAGTCCGCAGCGAACGTCCATGCCTCTGAAAAAGGCAATCTGTGTCAAGGCCAGCACGCGAGCCCGCCTGACGCGAACAACTCAACGGCGTCATCACGCGGCGGTGCCTTTCT